GATTATAACGTGTTTCTTCTTCTACTCTTAACAGAGAACATCAATTAGTAGGCCAATTCCAATCAAATATGTTTTCTCGAAACTCCTTTATCTATTTTATTGTTTTCATTATGCAATTCTAGGGTTCATTTATACAACGTTTTACATAAATTTTCAAAAGCAAAATTTGAATTTGGTCATTTAGGATTAATAATAATAATAATAATAATAATAATAATAATAATAATAATAATAATAATAATAATAATAATAATAAGTATGGCCATGTTTTCAAAAATAAATAAATAAATAAATAAGTATGGGCATTTCAAACTTTATACTACTTATTACATTTCAATCCACATGTATACCAAATATTAGAATTGGGAAAAATGACGCTTTTGGCCCCTCAATTGTTTTTACTTTTGGAAATTTAGCCCCTATTAATTGATTTGAACAAACATAACCCTTTAATTGTTCATAATGTAGCATATTTGGTCCCTCATGTTATATATTTAGAATTGAATTAAAAATATTTTTTATTATAAATAAATACATAAATTTAAAAATAGTGTTAGGCATGTCTAACTGGCGCCAATGTATCTATTCCCATTCCCACTTCTCTGCAATATCTGCTCACAAGGAAGAGGTTCCTCTCGCGCTGCTGCTGGTGAGCCTCCCTCACTTTAAGAGGTTCCTCTCGCGCTGCTGCTGGTGAGACTTGATCTCTGATCATTCTTCCAAACTTTCACCTCTATGACCAGTTGGCATTATTAACTTTTTTGACATTATCCCCAAATAACCTTTGATAATGTTGGTCTAACGGGGCATTTGGTTGGAAAAAAGGAATTTAGGGAGAAAGGAATTGTAATTTGGTGGGAAAATAATAAAGTGAAATAAAGTAAGAATTTAAGTTACGTTGTTTGGTAGGGAGAAATAGAATTACACTGAAATAAACGCCATGTTAGAGTAATATTTTCCTTAATTGTATGGCTTGTATCAACTTTTCTATTCACAATATCCAATGCAACCAAATCACATCACATGACGTGTAATTGTACCGGGTTGTCTAGTACATAAGATATTAGTCTATTAATATTTTTTTACTTATTTTTAAATTTTATTTTTTGTGTTTAATAGAACTTTTAGTTTAGTTTCTAAATATATATATTTTGTATATTAATACTAAATTTAATATTATGAAAAATTAAATTAAAAAAAAACTTCAATCAAGTCTCATTAATCGAACCAGACACATAAAATGAGACGGATAGAGTATTTATTTTCACATTTGGCCACCCAACTACTAATTTTGTCATATTTGATACACAATTATACTTTTGTTGTCACATTTGATCTTGTCGACCAAAGCTCTGGCAACTATTCACCAGAACTAAATACATAATAATATTACTAAAATTTACTTTTGTAATAACCCCAAATGAGAAAAGAAATTAAATGTAATTTTTTTCTCATATGGGGCTATAATAAGTGAAAATGTATCTATCTATATATATATATATATATATATATATATATATATATACACACTAATGGCCAAATAGTTTGTAGCTTAATGACGCTTCTGTGATTCTTCCAAATAAAAGGTCACATATGCTTTTTGTGCTTCAATATGTTGAGAAAATGTATGGACATATATTACATTGTAATAGAGTCAGTAGTACTCAAATAAATATACACTAATATTTTACAAAAATTTACCTTCTCAACAACCTTGGATGAGAGAAAATGTATAGTTTTTGTCAAGTGATTTGCCTGAGATTTGACTGGTAAGACCAAATGTTACAACAAATCATACTTGTATATCAAATGTAACAAAATTAATAGTTAGAGACAAAATATAAAAGAGTAAGGCCCTGTTTGGTAAAATATTAGTCTATCAGTAAAAATTTTTGACTTATTTGATCATTATTAATTGTTTGATTTTGGTTAAAAAATTAACCCCAAAATGCTAAAATTCAAAAAGTTGTTCAAAGCAACTTTTTCAATTAACGTTTTTGAGAAAAGAAATTATACTAAATAGCTATCAGCTAACAGCTAATTTACCAAACACATTTTTACAATCATCCAATGTTATCAACTAGTTATACCCTATAATTAACTCAATCAGCTAACAGGCATTTACCAACAGGGCCTAAGTCTTATGTGAGACTGCTTCACATGAATGGCGTAACACTTTTAAATAATATTGTAATATTTTTTATACATTTATAAAAAGTATTACATGTAGTGAGATGATCTCACGCAAGACTTACTGTAAAAAATAAATAATAGTCCAAACACCAAAAGTAGCAATAGTTTAATATAAACGACCTCGATACCTCATACCTCTCCTAGGGATGGCAATTTCAATCCGACCCGTGGATATCCACCCGAATCCACCCCGCATGGATCGGGTTTTTTTGGATGATGGTGGGTGGTGGGTCGGGGGTGGGTCTTAAAAAAGAAAACCCGCGGTGGGTCGGGTTGGATTTGGGTTCTATGTACAAGACCCGCCTAGAACCCCACCCGACCCACCATGTGTGCGTGTGTATATATATAATAGTAAAATAAATACTAGTATGTAGTTATTTATAATAGTTTATATAACTCCGTGTATCTTTTTACTATTTTTTATATCAAAACTACTAAGTTTATTTTTAAAAATTAACAATTTAGTTATTATATTTAAATATTTCCATTATTTATGTTTTAGTATCACTAATGGATTTTATTTTTTTATTATGTGTAAATAATTTAAATATTATTTTTTGAAAAACATAATAAGATGATAAGTGGTGGGTACCCGTAATGGGCACCCGCACTCGGTGGGGGTGGGGGTGGGTTCTGAAAAAATCCACTCGATGCGGGTTGGAGGTGGGGGTGGGTGGAGAAAATATAAGGTGAGTCGGGTGATGGATGTAGCCCTCCCCGACCCACACCCGACCCATTGCCATCCCTAACCTCTCCACATCATATATTCATATATAGAAACTCCAAATATAGTGTTAAGAGTAATACAACTTTTTTTGTATGACAAACATTCTTTTTATTGTAGCAAAATGTTTATTAGTAATCACGGGCTTTGTACTGTGTGTAGTAGACAAACAAATCTTGTGACAAAAAACCACATGCTGCCCTCCTCTATATATGTGAAAGCCTACCCAGGATCTTGTCATCTTTACAAACTATAAAAATTGGTCAAAGATCCTGAGTCAGCACTTTTGTATGACTAAAAAACCATTTACTCCGTATTTGATTACTCTTAGGTTGTTTTTAATTAATTAAATAATTCCCCTTACCTTAATCACAAACGTTAACACTTATGGCAGCATGTGAATCCATTTTCTAAAAACGAATTAATTTTCCCATTCAACTTTTCATGTTTTGCTAGGATTGAAGTCACATTATTGGATCACTTTTATCGAATTTCTTTAGTTAAAACTTTACTTTTGAAGTGGTGAACTACTCCAATCATTCTATTTGTAGTTCATCCAAATGACCATTTGGAAAGTCATTAATAAGATGAATTGTCTTGATTTGTTGTTAAAACTGTAAATTGTTTTAACGACCTTAATTGCAATTCATCTAAATGGCCTTTTGAAAAGCAATTGCTTCGATTTGTTGTTGAAGCCTTAAACTGTTCCAATCACTCTAACTATGATTCATCGAAATGATCCTCCAAAAAACAAGTAATGAGATAAATTGGCTCGATTTACTACAAAGTGGTAAGCTGTTCCAATCACTCAAATTGCAATTCATCCAAATGACCATCTGAAAAGCCATTAATGAGATGCATTGCCTCGATTTATTCTTGAAGTGGTAAACTGTTCCAATCACTCCAACCACAGTTCATCCAAATGACTCTCCAAAAAGCAATTAATAGGATGAATTGCCTCGATTTATTGTCGAAGCCGTAAACTGTTACAATCACTCCAATTACAATTCATCCAAATGACCCTCCTAAGAGCAAGTAATCTGATGTTAAATAAAATTTGTATTACTAAAGATTTTATGGAAATAATGTCATGTTAGTAAAATATAGCTAACCAGCAATCATTCAGTCCCTCACATGGAAGCAGTGAATGAGTATCTACCCATTTTTGTCGACACATCTTCTGTTTCATGGTCCTTGTAACTTTTACTCCTAGTACAGAGTGGGTTAATTTTGGTGTATCATATCATGTTTTACAGTACTTCTAGATTTTACCAACAACTCCCTGGATTTTAAGATTTTAATCAACAAGGACTCAAAAAAAAAATAATAATGAAAATAGAGATTACATCTGATCTCCTCACCTACAGTCAGTCAAATCCCAACAATTTTCTGGTTAAAGAATAGGATTACTAATCATCATCAGTCTCTTCTCTTTAACCTTAAGCCATCTATTACCATTTGACAATTGAAATAGCTTTGGGCCCCTCTGCTAATATGACAGACTGGTGACAAGAAACTCAGATCAACCACAGCAATGATTGACACACGGAAGCATTTGGTTGGGCAGTTGGGGGGTAATGCAGTGGGGCGGTTGTCACTGAGAGAGTAGTTAACAAAGTGGTGTCTACCTAATTTAAAAATCTGTGTTTAAGCTAATAATTATTCATTAGAAACAAAACAGGGCCTTTCCTAGACATACTCAAAGAATTCCTATAGTGTCTTTATTTATTTATTTTTTTTTTTTTGTGCTTTAAACCACAAGGTGGTCTGGGTCTTTCTCTGTCCGTTTAACGGTTCAGATCCACCTAACTAATCCCCGTTTGTTTCAGGAGGCACAGGAGCTGGCCCAAAGGAAATCGTCACTTGTGAAAATCGAATCTGAGTTATCCCAAAATTCTCCACCACAAAGAGAGTTTATTTGCCACTTGAGCTACCCTGTTTGGTTAGTGTCTTTATCAATGATATCACATGGTGGACACTCAATGGACTGTCTAAGCCATTTCCAAAGGTGGCCTTCATGAACTCATACTTAACCATTTATGTATGTGATCATAGCATAAAGCCCATGCCTCCCTTAGCTTCTTCTTCTTCTTTTTCTCTTCTTTTTTGTATTTTCCTTTCCACCATATTTAGATCAAAGGGTAAATATATATATTATTGTAAGGATTGAGTTTTGTTGGGAAGTAATATGGGTGCAGATTCATTTGATGAAGAGTGTGATTATCTGTTCAAGGCAGTACTGATTGGTGACTCAGCTGTGGGGAAATCCAATCTGCTCTCAAGATTTGCAAAGGATGATTTCCAGTTGGATTCTAAGCCCACCATAGGTGTGGAGTTTGCTTACAAGAATATTAAGGTGGGGGATAAGGTTGTGAAGGCTCAGATATGGGACACTGCTGGTCAAGAAAGGTAGGTATTTACTATACAAACCTCATTTTCTTGGATGGATTTTTACCTAAAGAATTAAGAATGTTTTACAGATTCAGAGCGATCACGAGTTCATACTACCGGGGAGCTCTGGGGGCGCTGCTAGTGTATGACATAACTCGCAGGGCGACATTCGAGAACGTAAGAAAATGGCTGGTGGAACTGAAGGAGTTTGGGAGTTCAGAAATGGTGGTGGTTCTGGTTGGCAACAAATCGGACCTGGGAAATTCAAGACAAGTTAAGACGGAAGACGGGCAGAGGGTTGCTGAGTTAGAGGGTCTGTTATTCCTCGAAACGTCTGCAATGGAGAATCTGAATGTGGAAGAGGCATTCCTGCAGATGATCACAAAGATTCATGAAATTATGAGCCATAAAAGCTTGGATGCTAAGATGAATGAAGAACCAAACACCACTCATACTCACCTTCTGCAGGGGAAAAAGGAGATCATTAACATTCATGAAATCACTTCACCAACTAAACACCCTCTTCCTAATCCTAATTGCTGTCTATACTGAACTCAACTATCTATTTTTCGTTATGAATTTTTGTTTGTCCTCACTAGTGTCTGTGTTTTTCTTCCAAGCCTCAAACTTATGTAATTCATGAACCCTTTTTCAACATGAAATATATAATAGATTGCAGGAAACAATATATATCCTTGAATTGTGGTTGCCACTTAAAGGTGTGATTGATTGTCAATACATACTTTTGGCATAAGCTATGACTATCTGTCAGTCTTTGTTAATACAGAAAAAAGAATCATTCATAATACATCAAGTCCATAAACCACTCAACTCATCTTCATCTCCGCATCATTCCCTCCATAGCTTGTTCTACAGCTTGCAGAAAAACGAAACCATAAGGCGAGTAGGTAGGTACATACAGGCGTTAGGATCAAGCGCTTACCACTTACTCTAAAAGTTATAACTAGTAACGAAAGCGCAAATTTATTTCCTAATTTTCGAGAGCCAGGGTGCTAGACTTGGCCTTTTACTGGCCTCCGCCCAATAGTAGGTAACAAGAATTGAATCCCAGTGAAAGTAAGTGCTTACCAGCTCAGTTCTTGAGGTAGATTCCGGCTATACAAAGGAAATTCGAAGAGGAACACCGTTTTGAACCACTGGGGCAGGTTCCCATATACTGCAGGTGGCAGCAGAATGAGTGGGCTGAAAAAAACACTTCACTGTTAATTCAAGCTATAAATAAATTTAACACATTGTGGCAGAAAACAGAAGACCAGACCTTGTTTCTCTCTTATAGGACAGATATGCAGGGAGATTTCCATACTTCTTATCTGCAGATTCCTGTATGGGAGGGAGGGGGTTCAGATGTTAAAGGAATAAAGATTATGCCACCATGCTACTATAACAAGAAAATGGACAAGAAGTACCTCGAGCAATGGTAAACCACTAACAAAAAGCAGCAACAAGGTAATAAAAACCGGACTAAACACAACAAGCCATTCGGCGCCTTTTAACACAGGAGTAGAAGCCACGAAAATTCCCCACCAGAGAACAATCTGAACACAAGCGCAATGGGCATCAAGAAACTTTAATATGAAACTCAGCAAAACTAGTAGCTTCTTTTATATTGGAGAAAAAAGTCGAGTTCTATACCACACTACAAAGAAAACATGGGCCCTGTTTGGTAAATGGCTGTTAGCTGATAGCTGTTAGCTAATTGGGTTAATTAGAAGGTATAACTAGTTGATAATATTAGCTGATTGTAGAATGGTCTAATCTCACCTCACCAAAGTAGTTTGGATGACGAGAGTACTTCCAAACTCCAACATCACACCATTTTCCCCTATTTTCGGGAGAATTTTTGAATGCCAACTTCTGTTGGTCAGCAGTAACCTCAACTATAATCCCGAAAGCCCACATAAGCCAGCCAATGATGTCTCTAGCTTGAAGAGATGGTTGATTGTCACTTGCATTGACAACCGTTAAAGGTAAACTCACAGTCCACACCCAGATTGCCTGTAAGAACAACAAATCACTGCTAAGTGGAATAGAGAAAAATTAAAGTCATTCTGTAACCACCAAACATCTATCAAATAGAGGTAAAGTTAGATTTGCAGTGACAAAGTGGGAATAAAATAACCTGAAATGTCCAAAATATTGCCAATCTTCCTAGCTGATCCCGCTTTCCATCAAAACGTCGGTCCTCCCCCCACTGCATTATCCTGAGAAAAAGCAAAGATCCGAAACCTTAAGCCTATGTTCTGCAGAGTTTATTCAAACTTATTGCATCAGACCGGACCAATATCCATTTGAAACAGAACAACAACGATAACAATAACAAAATTGATCAGGTGTCCTTGCCTTATTAACAGAAAGAGTCCAAGCCGAAGACCCCATATCACTACTAGCACAGACAAAATCACCTGAAAGATAAAACTGATGATTCATCACTCATCAATCATTGACATAAGACTATCTGTCTGTCTGTCTAGAAACATGTATATTCCTACCTGCCGAAAATGCCATGAACCCTTCAGAGCCAAGGTCAATATGGCAAGTATAACAAAATTTGTGCTTCCTGTTAAAATCCAGAAAAAAACAGCTTTTTATATCATCTAAATTCCAGCATTCAACATATTTGCTTGGTCAAAATCCACGCCAAAAGCAGTAAACGGCACATAGTTTGCTACGCCAAATAGATGAATATAAAGAGAGGGACATGGAAAATTCACCCTTCGCAAGGGGTAAAAGAAAAATGCGAGCTTTACTGTAAATAACCCAAGAAAAGAGAATAATCCCAGTACCTGCAAAGTCAGTGACTTTATCGAATTTGAGAAGAGCCGTGACTATGAAGAAGATGAATTGATAAACCACCTATCAAGAAAATTAAACAACCACCCATTAATGCTATCCCACTTCCAGTATCCATAATAATATACTTATCTCTGGAAAGCTGCTTACGGTAACAATGGCAGTTATGGCGAAGAAATGGGAGTCGATAACGGTGCCCATGATAATCTGCTTCGGAAATCACAACACAACTCCTTTTTAGCTCTATCTGGTCTGGGCGGGCAAGACAGAACAGGATAACGTTACGATAAAAGTCATACGAATGCTTTCCTTTGTACTTGGTGTCAAAGGTGTCGTTGAAGGAACTTTACTCCGCTTCTAAAATATGTGGCTGAGGTTTAGGCCAACGTTGTTGGGTACTACAATTCTACAAACCACACTTTTCCACGTTGTTTCTTGCATTTTACTCCAACTTACTAATACTAATATAAGGAGGAGAAAATTTCAATTTTGGTCACATGACTATAGGGGCATTGTTAATTTCAACATTTGACTTTTAAAAGTATCAATTTAGTACCTTGACTATATAATTTCTGTCAATTTACCTTGACTTGTAAATTGATGGTCAAATTTGGCCGGAAAAATTTAATCCAACATTTAGTATAGAAAGGATCAAAAGAAGATTTTGCCCCTCAGATTATAGACTAAATGTTTGATTAAATTTTTCCGACCAAATTTGACTATCAATTCGACCAGAGTGACCAAAATTGACAAAAATTACATAGTCAAGATACTAAATTGACACTTTTGAAAGTCAGGTGCTGAAATTGACAATGCCCTTATAGTCATATGACCAAAATTAAAATTTTCTCTATAAGGAATATTAATTTAAGAGAAAAGTTAATATCATTTGAGGTTCTCTAATTATAATTTTGATACGTTTAATTCTAATTTTTAAATATAATCCTTAAATTTTAAAGTTAATTATTTGTGATTTTTAACTTTTAAATTTTAAATCCTTCTGAAAGGACCAAAATTGATTAAAATTTAATGGTTGACATAAAAGTAGAAAGATTATGTGAGATTAATTTGAAAATTTAGGTTAAAAGTTTTGGAGTAAACATGACGGCACTATACTTGGAGGACCTAGTTGGGATTCACTCTTTAGAAAAAATTGCAAATCATTTCCTTTATTAAATGGTGGTGGTTGCGGTTGTATGATGGTGGTGATGGTGGAGGGGGTGGCGGCGGCGGTATTGGTAATTGTGGTAGTGAGATAGTGGTGATGGTGTGGTGTTGGTGGTGGTAGTGGTGTTGGTGTAAAAGTTGGAAAATGACTTCTCCAAAAAAAGAAGGGAAGTCATTTTCCTCCCAAACAAGCCTATTTACAAAGTCAATGGAAAATGATTTCTGTTGACTTGATTTTCCAAGCACATCCAAACACAAGAAACAAGAAATTATTTTTCGGGTTTCCAAACCCACCCTTAATACCGCAAATATAACTGAAAAATCAAAAGTAAAATTTTCTCAGTAATTTATTATTAATTTTTAAACATAATTCCTCTTTTTTTTTTTTTTTGAATAAATATAATTCCTCTTTTTCATTCAACCGAAATCAATAAAAAAATACTTCTAAAAATATAATTAATATTGTTGAGGATAATAGTCTTGACCTTCAAACCACGCCAAATCAATTACAAACTCTATGAATCTAAGGTTCATAGTCAAAACAAGACTAAATCTGCTCTTGATATATAGTCTCAAATCTGAGGATATTCTTTAACAAAACACAACAATGGACACAACATGGTACATACACAAAAGAGAGCAATTTCAATTTGAACCTACACATTACAAGTTCCAGTTCCAGTTCCAGGTGACAGTCACTAAAAGATACAAACTAAGCCTTCAATTCTAAGCACCTTTATTAACAAATTAGCTAAGCTAAATCTTCCATATCTCTCCCTCCTCTCTCTGCAAATACCACAATAATTTAAACAATGTCAATGCTAACCGACCTCCATCCAAGTTCCTACATCTTTCTTAGCTTCTCTTCTTAAACGGGTACGGGGGTTGGGGGTTGGACTGGATTTACACCATTTGCTGCAAACTCTTCCAGATCCTGCAACGCTGCCATTGCCGTTTCACTGTTCAGGCATGGTCTTAGAACACTCGCAGTTTCCTTTATTCTTGATTTCTGCCAAATAACCAATGTGCATATATTAATAATAATAATAATTGTTGAGATTAACAAGAAATAGAAACAATAATAATGGCAGAAAGGTAAAAAAGACAAGATTTACGTGGTTCGGCATGTGCCTATGTCCACGGGAGTGAAACTATTCTTATATTCACATGGTGATAGTGGTGACACAACCCTTAGGGATACGACCGATATATTTATAGGCATCTAATCCCTATATGAGACAAACACAACAAATCTCCACCTTGGCAAATATGCTCTCTAGGAGAAAAGATAACTCAACAATAATGGACATAAGTAGATGCGTAATTAAAAACGTTTCCTGGTATTTGACTTACAAGCTGTTCGAGTTTTCCCTGTAGATCCTGTAAAGTTAAGTGTTGGGAATCAGGAGCATTGGGTGCTGCGAATACTGCAATCTGAAACCCAAAATTTTGAAACATACAAAACAAATGAGAAAATTTGAACTTTGATGGTTGAATTACAAAAAGCCAGAAAATTATCAAAGCAGTTGCAATGAGAAAGAGAAAAGTAAGATGTGAAAAGATTACAACACCAAAGCAATATTAAGCACTCAAAGGGAGTGGAAAGGAAAGACGGCTGCTAATTTTCACATCAATATGGTAACTAAAAGCAAAATAAATTTCTATCAATTTCCTTCCTCGAGTGAAATGAGACCACTTAAAATCTTAATCGAGACATTGATGAATTAACACGGTACAAACATTATGGATGGAATCATGACAAAGCTAAATCATTAAGGATAAAAACAAAATTACTCAGATGAGATGCAATATATTCTACTTTTCATAAAGCATAAACTTAAGAAAACATGCAGACAAGAAAGCATCTATCTTAGACTCAACAGCTTCAAGCTCATCTTGAGGGTTCTAGATCAACTAAGTTACATTAGCTCAAAGTAGGCTCAGGCTCCACTGCCAATTAAATTTTGTTACAGACAATCTACTTCAATGTTATAGAGCCTTTAATGAAAAGTCAAACTCCAGATAAAATTTAACTACCGCTTACTGACAATCTACTTCTAGTCTTCTACTTTAGAGTAAAAGAGCCTTTAATAAAAAGACAAACCTCCTCTACATCATATAGTCATATAGAAATAATAGGATTCTTTTTTCAAACAAGAAATAATAGGATTAAAACCTTAGGAACACAAAATGATTCTAAATCTATAATAAATGGGAGTAAATTTTACTAATATATGATAAAGAAATTTTCTAAGTCATCTAGAAAAGATTTAGTGTTAAAACCTTAAATGTTAAAATGTCTTCCCCTATTATATAGAGTGAGTCTTCTGTGAGACCGTCTCACATATCCTTATTTGTGAGACGGATCGGGTCATAATAAAAATGTAATACTTATGCTGGAAAATATAATACTAATCAAGTTTGTTACTTATAAGGAAAAGTGTAATACTTATAAGGAAAAATGTAATACTTTCAAAAAAAGTATAATATTTAAGGTTGAATAGTTACTTATGAGAAAAAATGTAATACTAATTATAGATAAATTGTTTAATTGTTACTTATGAGAGAAAGTGTAATAATGACGAAAAATGTGATACTTTTGATGAAAAATATAATACTTTTAAATCAAAATGTAATATTAAGAGTTGAAGAATTATTTATAATGAAAAATGTAATACATATATGGGAAAATGTAATACTTATCAAAAATCCGACCCTTCTCACGGATCTCATCCGTGAGATGGTCTCATAGGAGAATTTGCCTATCATATATGTACCTTTCAAGAACTTAGAAGATAAACACAATTAGAGTTTCAAATAACAGATCTAACAAAGAATTAATTCCAACTCCAGGTATATTCATAAAATAGATTATATTAGCATTCTTTATGGTCTAATTTTTAACATGAGAAAAAAATTATTCACAATCTATTTTCTAACAATAATCTACTGCGGTTTTATTTTGGACAAATATCAAAGCTTTACATGATAACAATTGATGAATAAGGGGTTCCTTATTTTTCAAAATTGAATTAAGAGATTTACAGATTTATTATTCTAGATTCTAATTTTTTTATTTTAAATGAATATCAATCTAGTTTTGCTTCTTTAATTCAATTATGCATCGTATTTAGAAAATTAGTTTATTCAAATTTTAATTAACTAACAAAAAATAATTGAATACACTAAACTTTTCTTATAATTTTTTAGTACTTTAAAAATGAAGTTGGATGTAATATTGGGTAATAAATAACATAAGTGCATGCTATGTAATTTAATATTACGAAATATGTATAAATTTTGTCATTATAAATTTATAATTTGTTAATTTTCTAAAGTAATATATATTTCTTTTATAAACTAATTTGAGCCCAAATATGAAATTATTAAATTGTATCATATTTAAATTTAAATTCAATAAAAACAAACCAGATCCAACAATTGGGATTTAGATATGCTAACAATTGACCTAACCTAAACCTCAACTATTTGGTCCTCTCTCACTGAAACTCCTAGTTAAGCTACTGACAATAACTATTTTTCCTTTTTACTAACAACCTGGTACCAAATCAAAGGAGCTGAACTACCCCCTATATTGAAGCATGTGCTCCATCTAAACTAAAAGGCTCTGATACCAAATTGAAGCATGTACTTCATCTCAACTAAAAGCCTAAGCTATTAGTGTAACAAAAAAAAAAATGTGATCTTTTTCTAGCTTTATTGCCTTTATATAATTTTCATCTCTCCTAATCTTTACTCATATTGCAGTCAGTCAACCCAGCAACATTTTTATATAAACTTTCGAGTTATGTAATGAGTTTTACTACATTTTTCCCCTTAAATTTACCTCCTAAACTTTTTTCCCACCCAAGGATTTTTACATAAAATTGTATCTAATTCCAAAACGTTCTTGTTAGTTAATGCAATCAACTAGTTACCATGGAATTTGGTTGACCATCGTTTCAGCATTCCATAAACTGGAATCTATAGAAGCATCTTACACGGGAGTTCACTTAGCATATTCTTGGTGCAAAGAAATCCTTAATGTCTTGTTATTTGAATATTACTCCATACATCTCATTTCAGCTATCCGGTTCAGTTAGTGAAAAACTTTATCGTGCCATAATTATATTTACCATCCAACAATTCGACACCACAAAAATCGCCTAAATTTTAAAAGTACACAAACTATATCAAAAATTTATTAAACACACGAGTTAGATTTAAATGTTATAACAAAATTGGAATAGTAAATATGATATGTTAAGGTCAATCAAAATATCAACTTTGAAATGAGTGATAACTGTGAATATTGCATCAATTTATAATGGATCAAGAATTGAACACTGTAACACAAACATCAAAATATGAACTTTCAAGGCATGCAGAGAACTGTGCAGCATAACGCATCAACTTAAAATCAATCATAAACAATTATCAGCAAAATTGAAACTGTTTTACCTTTCTGGGTCGTCCAAGTGGCTTTCCGCTAAGCTTTCTGGGCTTCTTGACCCCATGAGCACTAGACCTTGGAGGTCGTCCTCTTGGCTTTGGTGCTGGTAGCAGATCATCTGCATATTTCCTAGGAGGCCTTCCTCGCCTTTTAGGCATTGGGACTACCCCATTTGAGGCAGCAGCATTATTCCCAGGAAGGGCATCATTGTCAGTAATTGGCACAATCACCAACCCGCCGGCACTGTCAAGCTGAGCATTCTTGGCGGGCCGTCCTCGTGGCCTCCCAAGCTTCATAGCAATTGTAGTAGCACTCGCCTTGGGTCGTCCTCTAGGCTTCCCTGTTGCAGTAGAAATGTTTTTCTTGGGGCGGCCTCTTGGCCTTCCAGACACGGTTGTCACTCCTAGCGGAGCTGCTGCAGGGCCTTTGTCTTCAGAAATGACCCTCTTTGGACGACCGGGGCGCCTCTTAGTCGCCGGAGGGGAAGCAGTTGGCTGAGGAGGAGGAGTACCCGGAGGCGCATCCACCAACCCAAGAGAAGCAAACACAGATTCCGGCCCAATCCCGGCACTGTTCTGGACCTCCGGAACAACAAAGGGCTGGAACTGAGGCATAGATGGTTGGTGGAAATGGAGCTGAGGCGGGTGTTGAAGCTGGAACTGGCCCATAGAATCCTCCGGCTGAAACTGGAACTCCGGCTGCTCAAGATTGGGCTTGGGAGGCCGACCGGGCCTCCTTTTCGGGCTGAGAGCATTTCCAGCGGGGTCGGGCTGCGACTGAGTCAGAGATCTAGGGAGCGCATAAGAGTGCTTCACCATAACAAGCTCACCGGAGTTCTTCAACCGCTTAAGGTGCTGAGTCAACAAGGCCGAGTGATTGGGCGGAAGGTCCGAGTAGACTCGCTCTATATACTTAGCTATAGCTTGTCTACTCGACCCATCCTTCTCCTTTAACGCCGTTATGGCCGCCGTTATCATCTGCAAAACCCAAACAAACCCAGTAAATTAAAATCTCCACACAAAACAAAACAAAACAAAACATTTCTTATTTATTTAGCAACAGAACAGAAGAGCCATGACGGAGCAGAAAGAAACAAACAAACCTCAGAGTAAGGAGGATGGTTATGGGTGGGCAAGAGGACAGGGATGGGGGTAGCAACCTGAGCTATGCGAGCAGCGGCGAGAGACGGCGGTTCCACGGCTTCCATCGGCGGCGGGGGTGGTGGAAGTGGGTCCATCACTGTGCATATGTGGGTGGAATTAACGAGGGAAAGAAAGCAACAACAGTAGAAAGAAGAGGGTTTTGGTGTGATGTTGAGGTGGAGTTGGGGGATTTAGGGATTGGGAAGAAGAGAGAGAAAGATAATTGGACCGTTGAGGCTGACAAACGGCAGGCAGAGCTGAAAACGGATGGGATAAGTGGCCTCTTTTTAGGTTGGGCTGTCTTTATGTGGAGTAGTAATTGCTGTAATACAGATGGTAATTTAAACCTCTTACAAATATGTCATGTCATTTCTAATCTAAAAACATTATAAATTTCAATTCAGGTTATATCCCTAGTTTATGTTCATTTTTTTTGTTAAATTTTTTTGTACTATATGCTACAAATGTTGTATTAAATAATTTTTTTAAAAAAATATTTTTGCTATTATAACTTCTGTTATCTTTTCATATTATTATTACCGTGTACATGCATATACAATATTTTTTCTTACATCCTTCACTGGTAAATTTGAATTCATTTAAGTTTTAATTAAAATATTACCATAGATATATTTAGTAATTTATTATTTCTATAATTCTTAACTCAATAATAGTAATATGAATTATACAATTATATATATATATATATATATATATATATATATATATATATATATATATATATATACACACTATTATTTTAAAAAAATTAATATAACTATAATTTTAATATTTAATTTTAATATTGGCCATATATTTTTTGCGCATCGCGCATATAAAATACTAGTTTGAATTATAAATGGTGTAATATTGCTCCTCAATCTTTATATATATTATTCTTCTCTTGAATTATTAGTAGTGTAAATGTGGTTACACGTTTTTCCTGTTCAACGATCATATTTTTTTCCTCTATTTTTCTTTCTTCATTTATTCTCCTTCCACGGTTTCTCTTTCTTTCTATTAGGGGAAGATCAATATATGTTACGTTTTGAAAAATTGAAGGACAACATTTACATCACTAATAATTTAGGAATGACATTGATAATTGATATATTTGTGAGGGCATAAACTACAATTTTTCCTATATAATAATATATATTATTAATAAAAACAAAATCTCGCTTTTACAACTTCCCTCTCAAACTACCTCTCAAACTATTACTATATAGAATCAAATAATTATTATGGTAATTAACCTAATAATTATATGAATATTAGTATAATGGACTAAACATTATTATGGTAATTAAGCTAATAATTACCATAATAATAGTATAATTACAATTAAACATGGACCGTTGGATTTTTTTTTAATAATTATTACAATTAATTTTTTGATAATCTATATATATATATATTTTTATATACTTAAAGTATAATTCTATGAGAACAAAATAAATTATCATTCATATTCTTCGTGTAATTACTATGGTAGTTTTATGGTAATTTCTATCTATATATTTCTTTATACTGAAGGTATAAAAGTATAATTGCATAATATCAGTATAATTACCTAATAATTTTTATGGTAATTAAGAAATTAATTGCACAAGTATTAATACAATTGACTAATAATTTTGTGTTAATTAAGCTAATAAATATACTAATATTAGTATAATTACAATTAAACACGGGTAGCTGAAATTCTTTACAAAAATAATTAATTTTTTGATTTTATATATATATATATATATATATATATATATATATATATATATATATATATATATATATATATATATATATATATATCCTTGATCACATGCAGTCATAGTCTCCCGTGCAGTTATGCAGATATATTAGAACCGTAGGATAAGCTAAGATCAAACAGCTGGAAATCGATGAAGAAGAGAAATTACGCGGTGGCAATTTCGTAATTTCTTGCACCGTGTATATTTTGATGGTGCATTTTTAAGTGCTAGCGTGTGGTGCATTTTTAAGTGCTTTGTGGTTCATTTTTTAGTTCCAAATGCTTCCACTTTAGCTCAAAATCTTTCAAAACACTCAAATGCACTCATTAGTCCTTATACCTCAATTAAACCATTTTATGTCATTTTCCATCCAAATCAAGCACGAAGAACTCCAATTAAGCACAAAGCAACCCCAAAATGACCCATAGAAAGATGCATGGCACTTATCAATCATCCATACACACTTGGATTGGGATGAGTTCTTTCTCCCTATCCACCTTCTCTTCCAAGTAAATCCTCAAATGCATTGCATTGACAAATTCAACTAAGCTCAAACGTAGCATATCATTTCCAAAGGTTAGACCTTGTTCCACTTCTTGGAATAGGCTTTCTCTTTCCACATTCCTTGTCTTTTCTTCATTCCTTTCTTCTTCATCAACCTCCTCTTTTCCTTCTTTGACCTCATGATATTCTCCTTTATGTTCTTCCTTGACCTCCTCAACAACTATGTCTTCTATGTCCTTATCTTCGAATTGTTTTTTCACATATTTTCTTTACAAGGACATCTTTTTTCAATTCTCCTTCAATCCTCTCCCCAATATCCATTTCTAATGCATCCCCTTTCAATCCATCCTCAACTTCCAAAACTTCCCCAATCCTTTAAATCATATCATTAACACACTTATCAACACAGTCAATAACACAATTATCAACATTGCAATTAACAACACAATTAGTATCTAGAAACAACTCATTTAATTCATGCTCTTTACAATTGGTATCATTCCCACAATCATCCACACATTCAAATTAAGATTCAAGTGGACATGATTCCTCAAAGCTTTCAAATACCTTTTTGGCCTTAGCAACTTGGTTCTCCAAATCTTTAATTGCGTTTTGCCTCAATGTAGTCGAGGACGAAGTCCGTAGAAGCTGTCTCGCCTCTGTTGTCGCCGATTCTGTTGAAGTCCACGTACAGAGCTAAAGAAACAAAATAAGAATGGACAATTATGTTAAACAAAGTTTTGAGATGCTGAAAATAATAAAAATTAAAGACATAGTTGGGCCAACTAAACCAAGTAATAACTAAGATATCATTTATTCACTTATACAATCCTAATAACCACAAATGTTTAATCATAACCATTAAACTTAATTCTTGAATAATTAACATATTAGTATAAAACATAAAATAAAATTCAAAAATAAAAATAATGTTAAATAAATAAAACTAATTTCTTATTATAATCAACCTAAATTAATTATCAAAATAGTACTTATCAAAATTCTCACACTAATCATTTTGCTTGTCCTCAAGCAAAAACATTATTCAAGAAAAACATAAATATATAAAAGCGCATTACACTTCATGAACATTGATCTCAAACACATTATAAATAATTAACTAGCAGTTTATTAAAAAAATGAAGTAAACTAAATAATCAAGCCCTGGTATATCACTCATCACTCACAAGTGTTTGAAGGGTGTGTGAATTTCACTCAAATCAATTCCTATAGAAATGTTCTACCATAGGCTTGCATATTTTCTCATTCTCTACTACAAGATAACATGAATGACTAAATCATAAGGACTTTCTCCAAGATTGTAATGGGGCTTAGGGAAAAGATAGGAAATATTTATGAAATAGTTCAAAAAGCCTTCAAAGTTAGAGGAGCAAAAATTGAATGAACATAACCAAAATAAAGCTCAAATGAACCAAATCTCTCTTGTTATTTTGATAGTTTAACTCCAACCAAATTAACTATCTCATTCCCATAAGACCATAAACAATCCATACTTTATTCAACATTAATTAATAATAATAAAATAAAAAATGATAATAATTCTTTTTCTTTCTTTTTCTCTTTGCTAGCTTCCGTCTCCTTTTTCAATGTGTTTTCCCTTCTTTTCATTTCTTTTTTTTTTTCTTTTCGTATTTTTATTCTTTTATAATTGATTTCTTTGCTCTTTTTTTTGTTTTGTTTTGTTTTTATTTTGTTTTGTTTCGAAAAAAAAAAAGAAGACAATTTTCTTTTATTGGTGCACAACTCGAGAAATTTAGCATACCGAGAAATTTGTTTAATATCATCAAGTAAAGGAATATTTACCTCAACCTTTCAAAATGTCTCAATAATTTATTTTTCTTCTTCAGCCTTCTTGAATTTTGCCAATCTACTAGGAAAAGGTGGAGGAATTACCAAAGCCTTCGGGTGCTCTCCAATAAGTTTTTGATCATTTTGAGGCTGAGAAACTTCTTTTTCCATTCCCTCATCTTGATTGGGTGTTTTTCTCACTTGAGTAGGTTCTAACAGCTCTTTTCCACTTTTCAATGTAGTTTCACTTACATTTTGCTTTGGGTTCACCACAGTTTCAGATGACAATTTACCTTGAGACTCCAATCTACCCACGGTAGATGCTAGCTGGCTCATCTGACTTTCCAAGTGTTGAATACTTGTTCTTGTTTCTTGCTGAAATTGTTGTTTGTTAGTAGCAAGTGACTTAACAATATCTTCCAATGACATACCTGAATTAGAAGATGACTGTTGTGAAGATGAAACTTGTTGTTGTGGAATAGGCTGATATTGTTGACATTGTGGGCGTGCTTTATAGCTGAAATTCGGATGATCCCTCCATCCTGGGTTGTATGTATTTAGGGATTATAATTCCTTTGGGGTGGTCCCAGAAATCCCCCAACCGCATTGACATCCTCACAAGTGTTGTATTCAAGCGTCGGGCACATATTAGTTGGATGGCTAGTAACAGCACAAATCCCACAAGTTTTTACTTGTTGCACATTTCCTACAACCAACTGTAGAACAAGAGTAGTTAATTGAGACAATTTGTTTTCAAGGGAAGACAATTTGTTCTCAAGCTTCACGAGGAGTTTTGTTCACTATAACACCTCCACTAGCTGTATCCATCATCTTTCTCTCCATGGGAAGCAATCCTTCGTAGAAGTATTGAATGAGGAGTTGTTCAGAAACTCCATGTTGGGGGCAACTTGCACACAGTTGCTTGAAGCGTTCCCAGTACTCGTTGAGAGTCTCTATGTCTCTTTGCTGGATGCCACATATTTCTCTTCTAATGTTGGCAGCTCGTGATGCTGGAAAAAACTTTTCAAGAAACAATCTTACCATTTCATTCCATGTGGTTATTAAGCCTAAAGAAAGGTAAAATAACCAATCATTTGCTCTATCGGCTAATGAGAATGGGAAAACACGCAATTTAATCTGCTACTCCATCACTCCTTGCGATTTCAAGCTTGAACACACCACGTGGAACTCTTTTAGATGCTTGTGAGGATCTTCATTCTCGAGGCCACGAAAGGCCAGAAGTAATTG